TGTTCTCTGATCTTTATGACCCTGGACAGAAAAAGAACAGTTGATAAGTTAAAGCGAAGTATTCAGTGACGGTGGTAGTAGTGTTTGTGATGGTGGTGGTGATCGGGGAACGGAATACGCCGACCCCCTCCCCCCTCCCTTCCGCCCTCCACCTGTCAGCGAGGTGAACAGGATAAATGCGAATCGCCAGTTTTGGTAGACAATCAGCAATCTCATTCCGTATTGCCCATATCATATAAGAGATGCGGATTATTATCACTATTCGTCATCCAAATGATTGGTCTGGACATAGAGAAAAGCGTGAATATCGGTTCGTCGGATCCAACATATCACGTGACTTGAAGTGAACAGACCCGATAAGCAACAGTGACAGCAATAGATAAAAAATACACTTACCACACATGCACATACAGAAGCGGACTCTGATCGTTCGTTGTTTGTCAAAATGAATCCGAACTAAACTGTCCACGGTCTGATTATCGAATCAACCATGTATGGATTTGCAGCTGATTCAATAGATGACATCCACCGGTGAGCATGTAAACTGACTGCCCCGGTAGGTTTTATTTAGAATTCAACAATTTGAACAACTAACCATTTTCTCATTCTACTTTTTGAAGAAGCGAAAACTGTCCTTTTTGGTTTCATGTTTTCCACTGCCTCTTTAGAAGTCTACCAACTGATGCACTGTTGTGATGCGTGGAAATCCCCAACGTCAATAAGTGTCCAACGGAATTTTTTCTGCACAAAGATGGAAGTTATTAAGTTCCGTTTAATTTGTTAAATTATACGAGAATGTTTTGTAGGAAGTTTTAAAATATGTATGGTCAATTATAGTCAATAAAATGTCGTGAAGTTAGCGGCATCCGCTTGAAGAATGATTATCCGCAGTCGTCCAAAACTGTACACGGAATTGTCCGTCTTTTTGCAACGATTGGCTCCGCATAATCACTGCATGATAGGTTCGTCATTTGAGTGAAGAGTAGTTCGCGATGTAGGGAGGAAACACGACATGAAGCGAGAGACTCGCACACATACTATGATTGTTTCTTCTTTGTTGAGCCTCATCAGCGGTGAAAATCCTTCAATCCAACTGGGGATGGAATCCAGATAGAGCACAATCACACTACTCAATTGATTTCTAGTCGGTTAGTCAGACTGCTTTATATCTATTCAAAATATAGCACAACCCATCCTAACCTCGCTCGTTTTAGTACAAAATTCTAGGAGTTACGAG